TAATAAACTCATAAGTATATTGATTAAATATTTCTAATTATTTGACAAGAATTTGTTCTTACAGTTGTACTTAGTGAAAATATGTTATGTGAAATTTTATATTTCTATGCAATATTAATAAAACAAAAAGAATGGATTTTTCATGAAGTCATGTACCCAATTTTTAAAAAAATGACAGCTTTTTTATTACAGTCTAGGTTGACCTATATGTGAGTAGACACTCTTAAATAAAAACCTTGTTAGATAATCAGAATTAAAAATCGGGTATACTACAGCACTCTGTCATCCCGGCCCATATTCCAATAATGAATATTCAGATCCCTCCATACTTTGATAGGTTCAATCTCCCTGGACAGAGGTCACCCTTAATAAGACATTTACTGGGATTTCCTGAGGCAATTTGCCATAGGCTGAGGATACAATTATCAGTGTGCTGATAATACCTTCAAAAGTGTATTATCAGCACACTTTTTAAATAGCCTTTTTGAAGTTTGCTAACTCGTTATTTCAAGGTTCATTTTTATCTTCTTTGGTGGATTTTAAAGGGTTTCCTTTAGTCAAGGGGTTCAGCAAAATCTTTCTGAAAAAGATGACCAATCAGCCAAATCTTGAAATATAAGTACAAACTTATCAAGATAGGTGAGAAGAAAGAGCATAAACACAGGTACAAAGGGAGTAGCATCTCTGTGTCTGAGTTGGAGATTAGTAAGATATAGAGGTAGAAAGCTTGCAATCCCCAATTCATCACCTTCTTAAGTTTCCTTGAAATATTATGCAGATACACACATTCATACATTTGAACAGCACTGGAAACCAGTAATATTATTTAACAACATGCCAGATTCTAGAATGAAGTTCCACTAAGGCAAACTTGGATGAATCTGATAAAGAGGCAAATTCAGAGAGAAAAGTTGGCAAGAAATTTTCACTTCCACCCTATCCCATTTCTACCCTGTCTTTCCCTTGTTGAGGAAAATAAGACCACAGACTGAGACATCAGAAACAGAGGCATTATGATTTATTTTCAAAAAAATCTGCACAGGCAATGCCAAGAATGAACACTAATGTCAACTATGAACTTTAGGTGATGATGCATTGATGCAAATTCTTTAATTGTAACAAATGTACCATTCTGATGGAGGCTGTTGACAGTTGGGAGGTTGTACACATGTGGGTTCATGGGGGATATGGGAAATCTCTGTACTTTCCACAAAGTTTTTCTGTGAACCTAAAACTCCAGGGGCTGGGGTTGTGGCTCAGTGTCAGAAAACTTGCCTGGCATGTGTGAGGCACTGGGTTGGATTCTCAGCACCACATGTAAATAAACAAAATAAAGGTCCATTGACAACTAAAAAATATTTTTTAAAAAGTCTAGTTTAAAACAAAACATTTTCATGTCAGGAGGAACAGAAGGGAGTATTCACCATCCTCTTAATATATCAATCCTTAGGCTTTCTTTTATGGAAAACTATAACCAAAAGCTCTCTCAGAATTACTCTGAACACTTACCAAGGGGAGAGGAAACCTTTTAAAATCCAGCAAAGGTAAAAATGAACCTTGAAATAATGAGTTAGCAAACTTCAAAAAGGCTATTTAAAAAGTGTGCTGATAATACATTTTTGAAGGGTCCCAGTGTCCAATAACACATGAAGATTCTTCCATTTTGTTAAGGCTGTAGTTTTTATTCCTCAGTACACACAATTCTCTTTTACATGGAAGGCAGACTTTCACCCTATGTGACAGACATAGTACTATTACCAATGTCACCCTTCCCAACCTACTCATGACATAGCATACAGTTTGATAACTGCTCTCTAGGGTGGCTGGGGTATTTCACCATTCCCTCCAATATGCCCCCCCCTTTATTTCTGGCCAGTATGGGGGCTATAATGGCTAACAAGAAAATGTGGCTAGGAGGTGCTCAAGATAGTAAAGCAAGCAATATGAAAAAACAAAAAATGATAAAAGTTATAAACAGACACATGACTAAACACAGTATTAAATTGCTAGGGATACTATATCAAACTGGATGGTTTAAATAATAGAAAGTTGTATTTTAGTTCCAGAGGCTAGAAGTACCTAGATCAAGGGTTGCTTCTTTCTGAAGGCTGTGAGGAAAAATCTGTCCCATTCCTTTCTCCTCCCCTCTAATGCATTTTCTGGCAATCTTTGGAGTTCTTTGGGGTTAAGAGCTCTGCCTTAAGGATGCATGTCATTCTCCCTGTGTGCATGCAAATTTCCCTCTTAAGGATACCAGACATATAAAGACAACTCAGAGAACAAACTATTGATTCACGAAACAGCATGCATGAAATGTAAACATGTTTTGATCAATGAAAGAAGCTAAACTCCAAATGTTATCTGTTGTATGATCCCATTTGTATGTTTGTGGAAAAGGCCAAACTAAAGAGACAGAAAATAGATGAATATTGCCTACAAGTGGTAGGTAGGAGAGAAATTACAGCAAAGTGGCAGGACAAGGGAATTTTATGGGTACTGAGACTATTATGTATGATATTGGTGACAAATACACAACTCTGAATTCTCCAAAACAATTAGAACACAATAGAGTGAATTATATTGTATATAAACTATAAAAACCATCACCTACAATAAGGGAAACCAAAGAAGGGGTTCAGACTTTGACAAATATATATAGTTGCACTACAAATTAAGCACACAAGCACACTGATGGATTAGGAAGAAAAGAGATGACTCAAGGAACTTGGAAAATTTTTATACTGGACACTATAAAGCTAAAGACAAAAAGAATTGTATATATCATCATACTCCAGTTGGTAATTTTTTCCCTCTCTCATAAGGGTATATGTTAGTAATTCTAAGCCACTTTGAGGGAATGTTGAGGTTGAATCAAGAAAATATATTGTAGATAATGACAGCCTGGCTTCTCATTTCCAGAGGAAAAAGCTACAGACAAGAGAAATATGTAGACCATAATAAAGCCCACAGTATTGAATTAGTGTGCAAGGTTTAAGTATGAATTCATAAAAATAGATGTAGGTGTGCATTCACAGATTGGTGTATATGCACTCAACTTAAAAATGTTTCCAATGATTAAGCTGCAACAAATTGTGTGATGATATAAATAATGGTAGTTTTAGATTATTTTTCCAAAATACAGCATATAACTTAACACCTTTACATATATTTTAAGTGTACAATTCAGTGGTATTAAATGCATTAATAATGTGTAACCTGATGACTATGCATCACCACAACTTTTCATCCTGTAAAACCAAGTCTCTGCTCATTAAACAATAAGTCCCCTTTTCTCTCACCTCCCAGCTGCTGGAAGCCATGATTCTACTTTCTGCCTCTGATTCGACTTACTCTAAGAATGTCATAGAAATGGAATCATTCATGACCTTGACACTTCAAGAATATTAGCCAGGAATTCCGTAGGATGTCCCTCAATTTGGGGTTATCTGATGTTTCTCATGATTATACCAAGATGATAGAGAAAGGTGTCACTCTACCAATTGCTGATAGGAGGTAGCTGTAGACATCTAAACTCCATCTCGAAACTCCTCACAATGCCCCAAAGAGAAGGGTATCATGCAGTTTCCAGTTCTGCTTCCAGAACTTGGAGACCATCATGCCTCACACCATTCTAACAAATAGCAAGCTGGATAGTCTGAAAAATCAAGTTTTCTTGGATCAGAACAACAGAAGAGGACACAGAACAAATCCCTGACCCCACAGTCATGGCTTGTCACAGCAGAGATGGAGGGACCACCAAAGGAATAAGTGCTGGGTAGGAAAATCTGAAGTGCAATTAATGAATTGCTGGAAGCTCAGAGTGAATAAGTTGAAAAGTCTCAAGGGACCCAATTGGGGAAGGGGCACACCATTACTAGGAATTTACCTTCAGAAGCTTGACCAGTTTCTTAATGCAAATGTCAGAGAATAATCCCCTGGTGTTACCAGCTGAGGAGGAAGGAGCCATTGTGAAATGCTCATTCTGTTGTTCTTAACAATGCCTGTCCTCAGGAATAGTCAACCGGAGCTTAACCAGCTGCGATATTATCAGAATCTAACTGACCTGGCTGACCAACTCCAGTCTACTCTAGCTTTCCATATGAGAGAAGGGAAATAGTTAACTCCAGCTCACTCTACCCAGCCTGATCCACCTTAGAGGAATAACAAACAAACAACTCTTAGAAACATAAAGAAAATTCACAGTCCAGAAACACAGGCACACAAAAAGACCTACTCATAAAGCAACAGAATGCCTCTCCCCACAATTTAGCACCATACTACTACTAAAAGCCTACTTACAGAGGGTACTTTTATCTAGAACATCATATCTGACTACCAAGAAAAAAATAAGACATACTAAAAGGCAAAAAAGTTTAAAAAAGAAACCCACAATTTGAAAACATGGAATAAGCAACAAAACTAGCCATGGCAGGGATATTGGAATGATCAAACTAGGAATTTTAAATAACTGATTACTATGCTCACTAAGTTTTACTATGTAAGTAAGTTTACACAGTAAGTATTACTATGATTTATAAGTCATTCTGTGAAGCCAGCATCACCCTAATACCAAAACCAGAGGACAATTCTATAAGAAAAGAAAATTACAGACAAAACCTCTCATGAGCATAGATACAAATATTCTCAACAAAACACCTAACAAATTAAATCCAACAACTTACAAAAATAATTTGCACCATCACTAAATGGAATTTATTCCAGCTATACAAAGCTGGTTCAACATTCAAAAATCAATTAATATAATCCATTACATCAACAAGGTAAAAAAGAAAAATTACTGATCATATCAATAGATGGAAATGACTGGAATGAAAAGTGAATTTCTGTGTGGTCTGATCTGAATTCTGTACCTCACACTTCCAAGGACAGACCAGGACATTGAACTCATTAAGGTAGCTACTGTAATAACAAGGGGGCAGCTAAGGTGACAATATTGAAAGCTACCCAAAACAGCACAAATAACAATGCATGTATAACGATGCCATTGAATAATCAAATTTATTTCTGAGTTGCTTAAGGATCATAAAAGAGAAACATTAACTCTCATAAAAACAGTAGTAAAATACAGTACACAGGAATGTCATTTGAATGATAAAAGTACAATAGCAAATGAAAAACAGTATCTTTTAACTTTTAAATACAAAGGTGAAGCAATTTAATAAGAAACTTTGTTAGTAAGAAAAATATATGTCCCATGTCTTTATTACATACTGTACAAAATAAAATATTGCACCTTTAAGTCATATAATAAATATATACAAAGAGTATCTTACAGGTGATCTTTCTTTTAATTTAATAACCTTCAACAATCAAATGTGGCTGATGATTAACAACTCATGGCCTGGTGTGTCCTCTTCATTTTCCCCTGTCCATTTCCAGCCACTAAACCCTCCACATACAGTAGTGCTCATCCCAGTGTCGGTGAGGCTGAAGTTAGAACAAAACAGATCTGGTGCTTAGAATATGGTAGAAAGACTCAGCAAGCTCATCCACAGATGAATCCAAAGCCAAAATGCACAGTTCAATTATTGATCAGGAACTAGATCTAGCACAACCTGCCTTGGGAAACTTTGTTGCCAACAGGCTATAGGCAACATGTGACAGGCAGTCAGGACACTGCATTAAGAAGTCTAAACATTTATTTGGGGTTGTGTGCCATCTAAAACCATAACTGGAGGAATACCAGGAAAAGATCACCACAACCAAATTAGCTCTAGAGTTTACAATTTAATGCTAGCCTGAACCTGCTTCAGAGGCAACACTTACTCCACACTTAACTTTCACCTTGACACTATCACACCAGCATGGACCCAATCTAAACCCAACCCAACCCTGCCCCAACCTGGCCCTGAGCCCAACTCCTTAACCAAGCACAGCCTTAGCCCTAATTTAACTTCCTTTCTCACCTAACTCAATCCTAGCTGAAAACTAACCCTAACCTTTCTTCCCCAAAACCTAAACCAAATCCTAATTCCAACTTCTAAAAGTGTAACTTCCCTCCTAACTCTAATTTACTTTGGATTTACTGAAAAATCAACTCAAGCACTTATTTTATATAAACAATTCTTTTCAATTATGTATCTTATTAGATTACTTTCTTATAAACTTTCCAAAATAAAAATCCTCAGGAATACTATTTTATGCATAAATTAGGTCTAAAAGGCTTTGATTTTCTGTTTGTGTGCAAGAGAATAGTGCTTAGAAAAAGTTCTATTCACAGTTCTTAAAGCATTGCATACACTTCAAAATCAGTAGAAAAGGTTAAATTTCCCTCTTCTTTGATTTCCAAGATGCCTCATTTGGTCACAGATGGATTTCTGTAGTTGTGAAAATGGCAGCAATATTTCCTCTGTGTTTTCTTCCAAGAGTGCTCGAGAGCAAGGACAGGATGCCACCTCCTCATGAATTCTTGGGTCAATTGTAGTCATAAGCCTGTCCAAGAGATTATCTCTTTTTCACAGACTGAACTTGAGCATCTTTGCAAATGCCATTAATGATAACATCTGAACAACTACTGGCCAGTTGTAGATACCTCACAAACTTGTTGAAACTCTACAACTTGAGAGAAGAGGAAGTTATCAGTTGCTGTGCTTCCTAAGACTTCAGGATGTACCACTCTGTGCTAGTTTACAAATCACAGCATGCGAGGATGTGCTCATTATCTTGGTGACTTCCCGATTACACAGACATGATGAAGTCCCAAGTGCATTGGCACATTACTAAGTTAATCTTGGAATACATCATTTACAGGAAGTGTAATTAGAAACCGACCATGGGGAAAATTTCACTTTACAAAATTTTAACAGGGATGTTTTTGCATCAACCCCTGTTTGATCAAGGAATTCAGAGTCTTTAGGAAATACATGTTTTTGAACCAGAGACATGGGGAAAAGAGCTTTGATTTTTTTTATAGTCACAGCAGCATCACAACCCCTCCATAAGTTTACCCTTCTTGGCATGACTGGCAGCACTTTCGTTTGTGGAGGTCCAGAGAACACAAATTAAGGTGCCTTATGAACATACAGTAGTGAGTTGTATCTGTACAGTCGCCTGCAAAGAAGAAAAAGAATCAGTAACACGTGGCTCATTAAAGGCTGACTAAAAGTCATTGGATTTTGTGAAAAGCCATAAATTAAGATCACAGAGTGAGGAGAAGAAACTAGCCTTGGCTTGGGCCACTGCTTTGTCCTGGATTCAGAAGTGCAGTGGACTCACTTCTCAGTTCACCAAGTGGGCTCTCTCTGTGCCCTGGGAACCTCACAGCCCCTCTGGTCCATGCTGCTGCTCTCAGGGCTCAGAGAAGCACTTAGCTTTGGCAGAGTCATGGACCCCTGCTCTCTAGAAAAATAACATACAATTAAATTTGACACATAATTTCAGGACATTTCTTCTGGTAGAAGGAAACAAGTGGAGAGTTTGCCAGTGCTTGTTGGAAAGGCAGTAACCAATGCTGCTGGAACTTAATAATCCTATTATTTCTTCTCTACAGACCCCAGAGCTATGTGCATATAAAAGAGCTCATCTATTGTCCCAAGCCACCACATCTGTTCTGAGTGGCCTCTCAAGAAGTGACTCTGATGAGGTTGACACCATCAAGGTCAGGTTAGGACAAGATCTCTGGAGCTGTGGTGACACCTGGGAGGGGTACGTACCATTGCAGGAAGGCCCAAGACAGTGCCTCCAGGAAGCTGGTTTCTTATTCTGCACACAGTATCTCTCAGCCACAGGTTTGCAGCTTCTTGTGTGGACACAGTCGACTTTCCGAGACTGGAACCCCCTGCCACAGGCTGCTGTACAGGGTTTCCAAGGGCCTGTGCGCCAACACACATTGCAGGCTCCTGATGTGCAATTCCTCCTAAAGGTGGGCCTGAAATAGGAAAAGAATATCAACAGGAGAGGCTGGGTGTCACTTTCTTGATGGGATCAAGTCTTTTATCCTACTATATATTCTATATACTAAGGCTTTGACAATTAGGACCCAATTCACCAGGAAATCAATTCTCAATGTCCATGGTTGGCTAAGCAAAGCAATGGTAAAATTGTGACCATAGAAAAGAGAATCTGTCTACTTCAGAATATGGACAGTTTTCAAGCCATAGAGAATAACCTTATAGTTATATAAGTTAGCCCAAGGTACATTAGGATGATTCTGAAAATCAACAGATATACGATAGGAGAAAAAGGGGAAGAACTATTTTAGAAAAATTCAATAAACATTTAAGACTTTCTGTGTATCAAGAACAAGGCTCTGAGGATGTAGAAATTGGTGACATATAATCCCAATGCCAAAATGATGTTTAAAAATATGTGGTGGAGTCAACAAGAAAGCACATTTTCACAGTATGAGACAGGATGAAATAGGTGCCACTAAAATCCAAAGTTGAGAGCTCACACTCAAGTTTACACAGAAGAGATCACTGAGAGGACATGGGATTACTGCAAGGCATCACCACCACTGGGAAAGGTTTTTCTTCTCATTGTTGGCAGGTGGAAGGTCTCTGGGTGTCCTCCATCTAAAACTGAGATATCCCCCTGCTTCTGTGCCATGCAATCTAGAATGATAGAATATCCCCTACTCCCTGGGGCTTGAGAGTCCCTGCTTAGATGTGCTCTCACTAAGAAGGCACAGCAAGCAAACTGTGTGTTTGCCCTGACTTTCAACACCACGGCCCATACATCAGAAGAGAGGCTGTTGCTGATAAGCTGAAGCCGTTCAATTTAGGCAAGGAAGAGAATTATTTACTATAATGATCACAGTAAAACACTTCAAATTTGTGAACAAGCCTTGAGTTTTCTGTTTATAAGCACTTGAAGCATATTCCGTTATGAGTCTGAATTTATATGTGAGCAACCCTGTCTGCCAAGAAAAGTGCTCTAACATGTACATTTAGGCCACACCAAGATGTCTAATCAGAAACTACCAAAGACCATTTATTTGGGAAGAGGAATTTATTTCTGATTTCCCTGGCTTTTAAAACAGAACTGAAACTCAATACTTTCTGATTTGGGGAAAATGTTTATCTTGGAGGAGAGAGCCACCTTAATGGATCCACTTCGGGTTATGTGTCCTGGGAAAGGTTCTGGAAGATATATTTGTACTGTATGAGAATGTCTCTCTACGCAAAGATGATAGGAAGGGGGCCCTCACATGAACTGGTCAATAGTTATCTTTCTTTTAGGAATTTGGAGGTTGCTGGACAAGACATATAAAGTTGAAGCCTGGAGTAGTAGTGATTGCCACATTCTGCCACATGGGCCAGAAAGGTAGGAAAGAAGTTTCAAGAAACAGCAAAGAATAAAGAAAATACACATGGAGCAATATAGATAAGAGGAGAAAAACAGAACAAAACAAAACAACAACAACAAAAAAACAATGGTTTTTCCTTTCTTGGTTATGGTCCTTCCTGAGGTCTGACTGCATCTCTCTTTGGATTATTTGAGAATTTTAAGTACTGGGGATTGAACCCAGGGCTTTGCACATACTAGGAAAGCACTAAGCTTCATCCTCAGTCCTTTTTATATTTTATTTTGAGACAAGGTGTCACTACGTTGCTGAGGCTGGCCTCAAACTTGGTATTTTCCTGCCTCAGCCTTCCAAGTTGCTAGGATTACAGGCATGCGTCATGGCAGCCAGGTTTGAGACATTTTTGTATCCATATTAAAGACTCCTTATAAGGACATAAAAGTCTATAAGGAATGTTGAAACAACCACTGGAAATGTAACAAAACAGAGAAAACAGCAAAAACCTGAATTTCTTTAAAGGAGAGCTTAACACATAGTGGGAAGCGATACTTTAATTTGCCAGTAGGGGGAGTCTCCATCAAAGGGTTTAACCATACTGTCCCAATGGTTCATAAGGTTTAGGGAGGGAGAAAGGGGAGGTTACCCACACTGGTAACTGCTTGTTTTCCCTGGTAAATATGACACTTAGGGGACCAAGGTTGAGTCACTTTGAATAACATTAGGCAGAGACTGAATACTCCTCAGCCATCTCCCTATGCAGAGATCAGCTTTTCTACCAAAAAGTTTCAACAAATATTCAAAAAATACACTTAAGAAGATACACGTGTTAATTGGTCTTGTCTTATTAAAAAATCTTTTGCCCTCTTTGCAGAAATCATTCCAAGTTGACTTTTGTCATCTCCAGCCCAAAAGGCCTTAACTGATAACAACCATTTCTTCTGCTTTGATGGGAGGCAAGGGCATCCCAAATATAAAGGATAAGAGGCTCAGAGACATACCCAGAAGTGGAAGTTCACGGCAGCTCAGAGACTGATCATGGAGGTCAGAGTAAAACAAATGGCAGGCTGGATCAGCAGAGGGGCCACTTCCTCCTGAGCAGGGATAGAATGACCCGGGATGGGAATACCTGAACCAGGTAGACACAGACTGGGTACCAGCACTGTGCACAAATTGGAGGTCATGTGTTTTTCTACATAAAAAATGAATGTAGAAATGGCAGAAAAAATCATAAAGCAACCCTAGCTTTTCTCGCTTTCTTGTTTCTATTCAGTCCTGTTCCACTCTTACTTCAAATAATTGCCTGCATCACCAGCCAGATGGAGCTGGTGATTCTGAGTATGACAAACCCCAAGCCGGGAGGGTTGTAAGAAGTAGGCAGAAGTGGGCAGCTTTGAAAAGGCATAGATTGTTATGCAGTTTCCAGAATGTTCTGATTCATTAAGTCTGAAGTAAGGAACAAGAATCCTTATTTCAGAGAAACTTCCCAGGTTGATTCTAACTCTTGGCTGAGATGAGTAATCATCACTTTGGGCAACTATGTGCTCAATGTTTCCTTAGGTCCCCATGTTGTCTTCTTAATACAAGTTGGGACTGTCTTTACCCTAACAATTCCCATTCCCTTTTAGGTCATACCTCCTAAACCCTTCCCTGGACCTACAGAAGTCTCTAGCAGACAGCCTGCTCACACTGAGCCTCCATTCACAAAGACTAATGACACTCTCTGCAAGACATCCTGTAACACTGTGGCTACTGGGGGATGCCTCTCCAGCCTGCCCACTGCTCCCTACTAGGCACTTAAAAAGGAAATCTAACACTGCACCCATCTTTGGCAAGCCCACAGTCAGCACACCAATTTAGCAAAGATCTATGGGGAAAATGAGACATTAATCAACTTAATCCTTCATCTATAAACCATCAAATATTCAAGGGATAATAACAGCATGAAAGAAAGCACCAGGTTATAAAAGCAGAATAGCCAGTCCTGGAAGAAACAGTCAAAAGAAAATGAAAGGTAACATGACCCCCAATCCATCAGCTCTAAGAATTTTTCTTCTATTATTTAGAAAAATATCCACCCTTTTATTTTACTTCCATATCTTTTGTCTAAAGCCCTATTTAATCAGATTTTCAACCTGTTTCTTATTTTTAGTTGTAGATGGACACAATAACTTAATTTTATTTATTTATTTATTTTTATGTAGTGCTGAGGATCAAACCCAGTACCTCAGATGTAAGAGGCAAGTGCTTTACCACTGAGCTACAACCCCAGCCCAAGGTTTTGAACCTTTTGAAAGATCATTCTATGCTTTTTTCTTTTCATATTCTTTGCTTCTTATTTTTTGCTGTCTTTTTAAAAATATTTTTTTAGTTATAGATGGACTCATACCTTTATTTTATTTATTTATTTTTTATGTGGTGCTGAGCATCGAACCTAGTGCCTCCTGTGTGCTAAGTGAGCACTCTATCACTGAGCCACACCCCAAATCTTGTTTTTACTGTCTGTGAAACAGAGAAGAATGAGGTTTGGACACAGGTGTGAAGAGGGTGTAGGACTTGAGCCTATGGAATTTTATAGGGCACATTAAGGATTTGGGTTAATTTTCTTTTTTAAAATTTTTTTAAAATTTTTAATTGTTGATAGATCTTTATTTCATTTATTTATTTATATGTGGTGCTGAGAATTGAACCTAGTCCTTCATACATGCCAGGCAAGTGCGCTACTGCTAAGCACCAGCCCCAGCCCTGCATTTGGGTTAATTTTCTTCTTAGGAACAAGAAAATCTATAACATGATTTTATGCTAACAGTGAGCTAGGTGGAGGTGGTGGTGGTATAATCAGATCTGCATCCTGGAAAATTCACTCAGGCTGTAGTGTGGAGACTGATTTGGGAAAAAGCATGGTTATACGGAGGGAGACCAGCTGGATGGCAGTGGACTAGGTGAGATGATAGTTGCCTGCCCAAGAGTAATGGTGACAAAAATGGAACAAAAAGAACATGGGTTCAAGAAAAAACTCTAAGGAGCTAAAAATGCATGTGAAAAGTAATCAGAAAAGTACAGATTACAAAGAGACATAATGTTTTAATCTATTGGATTGGCAATTTTTTTTGAAAGACTGAAAATGTATTCAATGAGGATGAAAGGGGGGTATCAGATATTGTTGGTCTGGGTATTTTGATGGTTATTTGGTAGTATCCAAATGATCATGTCTACTAATTCAATTACATATCTAAAAATTTACTCTGTAAAAATATACCAATTTTGTGTAAATATATATGTTCCAGAATGTTTACTGTAGCATCTGTTTGTAAAAGTGGAAAAATTAAAACAGTCAAATGTCCATCAACATTGGAATAATGGAATATTAAATGCAACAATTAATAAGGACAAGTTCAATCTTTATGAACCAGGATAGGAGGAAAGTCTACAATACATTCTGAAACAGAAAACATAAATTTCAGAAAAATGATAAAAGTTTCAATCCATGTAGGGAGTACTTATTTGTATTGCAAATATATCTTTCTGAATGCAAAGTTAAACATCTGGGACAATGCATATCAATCTGTGTGTGGCCTCTATCTTCTCAGCAAAATAGGAAACTAGGTTGTCTGTTGAAATGAGGGCAGCTGTTCCAAACATTTTCCATTTGAGGAGTTCTGGCTTGAAACTGTGTTATGAGGAATGGGAAATACAGCTGACTCTACATTGCCAAACCTGACTGAAAACTCAAAATGTAACCAAGCCAATTGTCAAGGTCAGCCCACTTTCTCCAGCACGTCTCAAAATGTGAAGAAGGGAGAAAGAGTTAGATATGATTATCTTCTAGGACCCAGGCTGCCTGGGTGCTGACACCAGGGTAACTAATTAAAACTTTTCAACCACAAGTTCCCCACCTGGTAGATAAAGGAAGTTAAATAGTCCAAGGTCACACAGGAAGAGAATGATAGGATGCCAAGCCCCTGATTAGTGTGCTTCTAGGTTGCTAGCTAGGATACTACACTCTGGGATGGTAGAGCTGCCAGTTGCAAGGGGCCTGGATCTCCAGATGACCTCCTGAATAAAGCTCTTCTACTGCTACAGCACTACTAGCTCAGACTTAGAGCAAAACAAACTCCTCTCTTGTTTAAGCTCTTCCACAAGATAAAATTTATTTTATTCTTTGCTGAACCATCGGGCCAACATCCTAATCAAAACAGTTTCTAAATAGAGGAACAAAGTGGTTCATTGAAAACATCAGGAAGATTTAATCTGTAAACCTAAATTAAACATTATTAGGCTTGACCAACTTTGTATATAAAGAGAAAAATATCTGTCTATTCTCAATGCTACCCTTTCTTCCCTTTAAGGCAATACTCTGTGCTCAACATTCAAATAACTTGTAATTACAAATAGTATATATTAACAAATATTTTAGTATAATATATTCTATTAAGGAATGGAAAAAATCATAACTTAACAGGAACTGTTAACTATGAGTGGTGGTAGAAACTAGAAGCAATTCCATTTTCAGGTAGTTTTAGTCACTGAGTGAGGCAGAGAAGACTGTGTGCTGCCCTGGGGTGGGGCCAGTACCTCCTGTCATCACAGTCAGAGCTGTTGTGGTGTCCGCAAGCTGTGTGATGCTGCAGCATCCTCACGGCACGACCCATGCAACGTCCAGGACACTGGAACAAAAGCACAACATGGTGTGAACCCTGTGAGCTCACGTGGGCTGTGTGTTCCAAGATGATGTACTGAGGTGGGACAGCCACAGTCCAGTTACGAGGTGAGTTAGGGAGGATCAGAGCACAGCTCTGCAGAACAGACCCCTCTCTCAGAGCCAGGAAGACAACTAAGCTTCGCCCTCCCTTCCTTTCCCCCCTGAAACTTAGGCCACCTCTGGGGAGAAGGGAAAAGGACAGGGGAAACTTAAATTGATCGGACTTAAGTCCGGAAATGACTACACTTAAAGTGTGAAAGACTGCCAAGTTTGGGTTTTTCCCACTCTGAGCAAAATGAAGACTTGTGCTAAGCTGATTTCAGTACAGGAAAACATATTAAAATGGATATGTAGTTCTTAAATTTTTACATAATCATAATGCCTATTAATTTTTCTTATACTTTATTTTATGCTTGAAATGGTCTTACCTATCCTAATTGTCCTATTTGTATTTCATTAATTTTACATTTAGGTCCTTGGTAAACTCAAAATTTATTTTGTTACATGTTCTGAGTTTAGACTCTGATTCTACTTACTTTTTTTATATTGGCTAACCAATATCTCTCATACCATTCTTTTTTTTTTTTAGTTAACAGCTTTATTGAGCTATAATTCACATGTCACACAGTTCACCATTTAATTTGCACAATTTAATGTTTTTTAAAGTGGCCTTACCATAGTTGATGCTAGAGCACTATCATCATCCCTCAAAGAAACCTAACAATCTTTTAGCAGTGACCCCCAGATCCTCCCACCACTTCTTCCCCGAGGCCTAGGAAACCATGAATCTACCTTTGTCTCTATGTTTCTATAGATTCACCTATTCTGGACTTTTAAGATAAATAAAACTGTACATTAGGTGGTCCTTATGTCTGTCTTCCTTCACTTTTGTTTTCAAGGTTTGTCCACATTGTAGCATGTATTAGTACTTTATTTTTTTAATGGCCAAGTAATATTCCATTGTACAAACACACCATGATTTATCTACTCATCAGCTGCTTCCTCTTTTTCTTAATTATGGGTTATTATTTGGGTTGTTTCTACTGTCTTGTTATTATAATAATTCTGCTATGAACATTCATGTACACATTTTTGTGTGAAAATACATTTTCATTTCTCTTATATCCAGGGGTGGAAAGTGCTGGGTTATAGGGGAGTTATATATTTAACCTTTTGAGGAACCACTAGACTACTTTCCAAAGTGCCTGTACATTCCCACAAGCAGCATCTGAAGGTTCTAGTTTCCCTACTACATTCTCACTGTATTTCTTACTAATGAAATCCTATTGGGCATGAACCCCTTTCTCATTGTGGTTTTGGTTTGCATTTCTCTAGTTATCAGTAGCAAGTATCCTTTTATATACTCATTGGCCATTTGTATCTTTAATTAAGAAATTTGTTCTGGTCCTTTGTTCACATTTTAGTAGGGTTATTTATGTTTTTATCAAGTTGTGGTTTATAATATAGATTTTAGATACAAGTGCCTTTTCAGATATATGCTATTTAAATATCTTCTGCTATTCTGTGGGTTGTCTGCTTACTTTCATGATGGTGTCCTTTGCAACAAAGTTTTATTTTTGATGTAGTTAATTTATCTACTTCCATTATGGTTGCTTATGCTTTTTGGTGTTATATCTAAAAAATAATTTCCTCATTTAAGTTGTGAAGATGTATCCTATGACTTCTTCCAAGAATTTTGTGGTTTAACTCTTAAATTCAGTTCTTTGATCAATTTAAGTTCATTTTTTGTATGTGGTGTAAAGTTAGAGGACCAACTTCATTCTTTTGTACATGGATATCTAGGTGTCTTGCACCATTTGTTCAAAAGTATTCTTTCCCCATTGAATAGTCTTATTAATCTTGTAGAAAATCAATTGACACAAATACATTGGTTTAGTCTTTACTTAATTGAAATATATATGTTTATATAGATCATATCATATACCATATACACACACATAATTTTTATACATATAATCTAGTACCACACTGTCTTGAATACTGCAGTTTGGTAATAAGTTTTGAAATTAGGATTTTTGAATCCTCCAACTATTCCAAAGCCCTCTCCTCTCTCTCCTTGTGAATTTTAAGATCACCTTGCCAATTCCTGATAGGGATTCTGTTGACTTTGTAGATAAATTTGGGAAGTGTTGTATTGTTAGCAACATTAAGTCTTCTGATGTATGACTATAGAATATCTTTTTCTATTTATTTAGATTTTCTTTAATTTCTTCAAAAAATCTTGTAGTCTTAAACCCTCAATTTTCTAAAACCATTCCTTCCCCTATGATAAACTGCCTTTGAACTTTTAAGTCACCTCGCATGGGTCTGCTGTGCTGTGGTTACAGTATGTGCCCTGTGTCTTTTCCTGCCCCAATAATGGCCAATTCTACTCACAACAGATTTGCATCTTGCTGGGACACAGCATGAGAAAAAGCTCTCCACACCTCCAGTAATTTGTTTTTCTAAAAATTTCTTGTCCTTATTTATTCTCTAACATGAATGCCAGAATTACTCCATAAAAAGGTTATGTTATTTTAATTAGAATTTTATGACATGCACAATTTCATTTAAGGAAATGGACATCTTTACAGTACTGACATTTTCCTTTCAGGAATATAATACACCTTTTACTGGTTCAACTTTTCCTTTATGTCTTAATAATGTGTTCTTCATGAGTTCATGTACATTAAAAACAATTTTCCCTGAGCATTTTATTATTATTTTATTAACAGTGGCACTTGGAATCTGAGTTCTGAGATTTTGTGCAGATAGCACTAGTGTTCGTCTCCTTCCTTCCTGGAAGGCTGCTCTTATTTCTACTGCCCTGAACTGATCTATTTAGGAGGTTTTGTTATTGCACCACTGCTTTAAGGTTCACTTTTGTACTGGAAGACAGAGACACTGATTTCCAAATGCAGATGCTGAGATCAGAGGAATACATTCCCCAAATTATTAGAAATAAGGAGGTGATTATAGATAGTACTGTCCACACACTAGACTACCTGGCTCGCTGGTTCGATGATCCTTTGAACACATGGATGCCCATGACACGGTTTCCTTCCCAGAGGCCGGTCTTTAGGGGCACATGCCCTCGGAGACACTGTCTGCACAGTTCCGTTGGCTTTTGTCCTTTTACATGTCACTTGCCGACTGTGGAATCCTTCACCACAAGATGAAGAGCACTCTGACCACACACTTGTGAACCACCTAGGAACAAAAACTACAGGATCTTAGTAAGGACTGGGACGCCAGGCCTTACAGGTTGTCTTGCCAAAATAAAACTCAATCCTAACAAACCGTTTCAGGGCTGTCACATGTGCCTATGGGAAGGGACAGCAGTATAGATAACTCCCAAACTTCCAAGATTTTCTTTTACACAGAGGAGCAGCAGAGTTACCATGTTAGAGATGACCAACATGACTGTAGGGCAGAGATATCTTTAAGTTTAGAGAGAGCTGTCCCTTGTGTGGTCCTGGACAGTGAAGTTAGGGTAAAATCAGTGGAAATTTCAAAAAGGTAGATTTTAATTTATTGAAACCAAGGGGAGGAAAATATTTCTAAAGTACCTATGTGCTGTTTGCTCTATTAGATATTTACATGTTATCCTATTTGATTTTTATGTGCTTCCCATTCTTTTAAGTCAATTGGCTAGGATCACATAACTAAACCAACAACAGAGCTGGGACTGGATTACAGATATATCTGACCCTAAGGATCATGCGTTAATGATTACAGGAGACAAAACGTGGACACGGACTCCTTTGGGATATTGAGTGATTTGTCATACAAGATGTCTAACCTGCTTGTATATTACGAAACAGAGGTCCGTGGTTATCCAGAGGACCATGTGCTTGGTTATTACATCTAACTAATGTTTAGTATTTCCTTCAATGATAAAAACATAGGCCAAAAGCTACAGTAGTATTAGTAATGCCAGTGATTTTGTTAATAGAAGCCATAAGTATTTCCATATCCCATTACAACTGTTATAGGTATCTCAAAACATCATTTATATTTATCACCACTTCAAGATTGAAGTAAAGCTAGCTTTTATTACTTAATGTGTCAACGGAGAAGCAAATTCATTACCATATCACACATTTAAAAAAATCTCAGTAAATGTATATCAGTATAATTAGCGTCCTCTGTAACCAGTTGAATTCTATTTTATATATTTAAAAACATTGTTATGAGAAGGTATTCATAGGTTTGTCCCGACTAACAGAGGGGGTCATGGCACAGGAAGGTTAAGATTAAGAATCCTTAAAGACAGTAGAATGAATCAGACATAATTTTTCTATGTTCGTACACTACCAGTGAAACTCCACATCATGTTCAACCACAGTGGGATCCAAATTAGAATAAGTTTTACTTGTATGTATAATATGTCATAATATACTCTAATGTCATGTATATCTCAAAAGAACAAAATAAATATTAAGAATCCTTGACATAACGGATTCTGGGGGATTAAGGGACCTCTGTGGTCTTCAATAGGTACAAAGCATAGTACTTTATTTATTCTAGGAATGCGCAAAGTCTCAGGCATATTTATTTATTTATTTAAAAAAATTTAGTTGTATATGGACACAATACATTTATTTTATTTATTTTTATGCAGTGCTGAGGATAGGATCCCAATGACTCACATGTGTTAGGCGAGTACTCTGTCACTGACTACAACCCCAACCAGCTTGTTTAATAAACAAGGCTGCTCATAAGTTTCTCAATGTGTATTCTCTCCACTTTGTAAAAATCAAAAATTGACATAAAGTGCCTTTCTCTGATCAGACTCCCCTTAATTATTGTAGCTTGAACTCAGGACTTTTTGAAGGGTGACTCTTAGCATAGATTTTCCTTTTAAGAATTACAGTGGGTCCTGGAAACCATGGAAGTTAGGGTGCCTGCAATACTGACAGCCCTTATAAGAGCATGCCTCAAGGTAAGTTTTTGGTTTTATAGTGTGACTGCATCCCATACCCCTCCAAGTCACAGGTATTTGGATATGGTGTGGGCATTTGCACAAGGGCACTGAGGTAAATAACATTAAGCTTTCTATTTTCTCCTTAAATAGTAGGGTTAGTGTTTGACCCAATGGCACATGCCCGTAATCCCAGCCACTGAGAGGCTAAGGCAGGAGAATTGCAAGTTCCAGGCCAGCCTGGGCAACTTAGCAAGGTCCTATCTCAAAATGAAACATAAGAAGGGCTGCAGGTGGAGCTCAGTGGTAGAGCACCCTGGTTCAATCCCCAGTACCACCAAAAAAAAAAAAAAAGAAAGAAAAAGAAAGAAAGGAAGAGAAAAAAGAAAGAAAAATGAGGTTGATAACTGTGTCAGCCATGAACTTGTACTCAATAAATAGCTCTTTATTTGCTACCTTATATTTTACTGTTGATTTTAATGCCATTTGCCAATTATCTGCTATGTCATAGACCATACCAGATAATTGGCAAATAGCATTAAATTTATTTTTAAAATTTAAAAAATTTTTAAAAATTTTAAAATAAATAAATATTTCATCATTCATTAATTCATTTTGCATATTATGGGACAGACATTGTGCTAAGTGTTAAAAATAAATTATTGAGAAAAACAGCCCTGAGTTTACTTATAAGATTTACAGTCTAGTGGAGAGCAAGACATTGTGGTAAGAGCTACGAAAAATGATAAAGAAATATAAAAAACATTTTGACTTACTTTGGAGAGCTAATGTCAGGAAGGTTTCCCTGAAAATGTATGGAAATATTAAGTGAAGAGAAAGGGAACAGTATGTGTAAAGGTTCTGAGTCAGGAAAGAAAACAGTACAACCAAGGGTCAAAAAATAATAGTATGGAGGGAGCTCAGATAACCAGAGTGGGAGAGATAAGCAATAAGAAAAAATAGTAACCAAAACCCATACATGAAGGGAATTCAATTCTTCACTCACTTATTCAGTCAATCAGCAAATATTCACTAACCCACCTACTGTGTGCTAGGTGCTATTTTAGATACTGCAGATAAAAAGTCATATAAGGTAGACATGACCCCAATGTTAGGAATTTTGGTCTTTTTCCTAAGGACAATGAGTACCATCATGATGAATTTGTTTTAAAAGATTTTTTGGTTGTTAATGCGGTCATGGGGATAAAACCCAGGGACACTCTACTATTGAGCTACATTCCCAACCCTTTTTATTTTTGATTTAAAGACAAGGTCTCACTAAGTTGCTTATGGTCTTGCTTAGTTGCTGAGGCTAGCCTTGAAATTGGGATCCTCCTGCCTCAGCCTCCCAAGTTGCTGGGATTCACAGGTATGTGACATCACATTGAGCTAAAAAATATTCCTATAGAGTGAAGAAAGTACCCTAGGGAAGGAGACAAAAATCAAGGACGGCTTGGACTCTAGTGGTAACCATGGAAATTGATAAAAACAGGTGGAGGTGAGAGAGGTGGGGGCGTGTAGGAGGTAGCCACTGAGATCTGGAAGACTGAGATGGATCACGTTTAGTGTAGATGAGAAGTTTGATTTGGGAGTTTTTCTAATTACTGACGTGTATCATTTATCACTTAGAAAGATTTTTGTGGTCAAGCCTAGGGAACTGTGTTTTTAACTAGTCCTCAGGTGACTGGTCCACTGCCTTATCTGCAAGGTAAGGCCATGAAATCAGCCTCACTGCAGCCCAAAGATGTAGCAAGCACCGGGAGTGCAGGAAGCAGATTTGTGTAGTTATTAAGAGTAAAGTTTCTGAGGTGGGGCATGGTGGTGCACACTTGTCATCCCAGGGACGTGCAAGGCTGAGGCAGAAGGACTACAAGTTTGAGGGCAGTCTGGGCAGCTTAGAAAGACCCTGTCTCAAATTTTTTAATGTAGCTCAGGGCTAAAGTGCCCCCTTGATTATATCCCTAATACTGATTATATCCCTAATTTGATTTAAAGACAAGGTCTCACTAAGGGACCTTAGAAAGACCTTCTCTGGTTCTGTTGACTGGGCTTGAAGAATGTGGAGGAGGCAGCCCACTGTGTGTGGGGGTGCTCTGAATTAGACCATCAGACCATCAGACCATTTCAGTTTAAATTCTGGTCCTTAAAATTGTAGGGGGTTTTCCCATCTGTCAAACAGGAAACTGAAATGTACCTCACAGGCTACTGTGAGACAATCCATGTCAAGCATTTAGCAGAATGTCTGGTACAGAGTAAGTGCTAAATAAATCTTAGCTATTGAGCCATTATGTCCAAATTGCTGTGTGTTTTAAAACAAGAAAAGTGTGGGTATGTATGAGATAAGAGAGTTCTTCACATACCTTGCAGGGCAGTCCTGGATGTTACAGGGCTGAAACCCTGCCAGTGGTTTCTGGAGGTGATTACAAAGGGCTTCACTCACTTTCTGTCCACTAGCCAACACACACTGGGGTCTCTGAATACGGGATCCCAAGTGACCACAGGAGGCAGAACAATGTGTCCAGTTACCAGGCTCCCAGAAAGGCTCTGCAGAAAGGAAATAAAATGTCATGACAGTCCCAGCTGGGCATGGTGGCATACACATGTAATCCCAGCTGCTTGGGAAACTTAGACAGGAGGATCGCAGGTTCAAAGCCAGCTTCAGCAAGAGCAAGGTGCTAAGCAACTCAGTGAGTCATTGTCTTTAAATAAAATACAAAATAGGGCTGGGGATGGGGCTCAGTGGTTGAGCATCCCTCAGTTCAATCCCTGGTACCCCCTCCCCCCCCAAAAAATGTCATGACAGCCCCAAATAAGAAATGATAATGAGCTGGAGAGGGAATAGCCAAAGACCATCATGAGCTGATCTCCCATTAGCTGCCAGTCTGGTTTTTCAAGCAGGACACACAGAGAAAACCAGGTTAGGGGGTCCTTTAAATCTTATTTTCCCTCAGCTAACTTACTGCAACCACTAATGGGCATGGTGGCCCAGATGGGGTCATTGGACCACAGGCTGTGAGAAGGGCTATTGTAGGCCTGGTAGATCTTCCAGAAAACCCCAGGGAGAGGGAGGAGCTACCCTGAGCAGTGGACTGCCTCCTCCACATTCTTCAAGCCCAGTCAACAGAACCAGAGAAGGGCAACTCCAGGGGGCGCTCTAATGCATTCAATTTTCCAAAACTGGTTCAGGCAGAGAAATAAAGGACAATTTAGCACAAGGAACAGGGACTGAGGATTAAAGAGTAAAGTTAAAGATGCATTTGAATTCCAGTCTTCTTTTTCCATTAATTTTTAATCAAAACTTCATATTAGTCCTGAAACTGCATAAATAATTTGTTGTGGAGACATCTGGAAAGGTAAAAAATGGGTGTTTTCTTTAAAAAGTAGAAGCTAAGCACCTCAAGCAATCACAGCTCTTTTGTTTTAGACCCCATTCCAAGCAGCCTTTCTCTTCCCTGCTGACACTTAGTAAAAGATGAGGTAGGACATGACGATGACAGATTTGTGTATGATCACAGAAAGTGCCAGATTTTCCTGTAATAATCACAAATAATTGATAGCTACCAGCTGTGTCCACAGGCTCTCTGACACACCAGAGTGATTTCTTTAACTTATTGTTTTCCAGTTTTTCCTCCTGAGTTTTGAATTTTTCTCTTAAATTGCATATGGCATCATTCACAGAGCAGAACCATAAAATATGTTTTGAGTTGGACCCTCAGGATCACAGTTTACTTAAAAAGATATTTTTGAAAACAGCTATTTGTTGAGAAATTCCCAGGTGACAGGTACTGGGGTAGGTACTTTATAATCAATCTTTCTGGTCATCCTGTGAAGTAGATATTTTTATTTGCAGAAGTGGAACTTGAATGAAGCTAAGGAACCTGCCCAAGGTCTGTTACTGGAACCCACATGTGTCTGACTCTGGATTTTTTTCTATTATCCCACATTTCACAAAGAAACCTTAACAGTTCAAGGCAGGACACATTGTGTTTCTTTAAAATTGTGTGTTTTTTACTGAAGTGTAATTCATGTACAATGAAATGCTTAGGTCTCAAATGTGCAGTTTTGTGAATTTTCACAACTTTGTAAACTTATATAACTGTGATCTAAAGAAAGGTATATAATATTTTTATCACTCCCTAAAGCTCCCTTTTGTTTCTTTCTAATCAACTCCCTCCCTCCCAGGCTCATTTTTAATCAGTATACATTGGCTTTACATATTCCTAGACTTCATGCAATATTTACTCTTTTGTATTTGGCTTCTTTCACTTAGTATAATATTTTCTGAAATTCACTCTATCATTGTGCACATCAGCAGTTCATTCTCTTTTACTACTGAATAATTCTGTTAGCTTTTTAAAAAATTCATTGTCCTGTGTAGGGCTATTGTGAATAAGGCTGAACATTATTGTATAAATCTTTTTGTGAGTATGTTATCATTTTTCTTGGGTAAACACTTGGGAGTGGAATTTCTGGATCCAGGGTAGGTGTATGCTTAACTTTATTACAAACTACACAAGTTTTCCAAAGTGGTCTTGTCATTTTACACACTAAGTAAATGAGAGTTTCAGTTGCTTTTATATTCTTACCAAAATTTGGTATTGTCAGTCTGTTTTTAACTACTCTAGTGGGTGTGAAATTTTATCTCATTGTGATTTTAATCTTCACTCCCCTGATGCCATCAGTATCCCTTCTTTTATGATATATCTGTTCAAGTCTTTTGCCCACTGTTTTAGGAGTGAGTGAGGGTGTTCACTGTTAACTTGTAGGAGTTCTTTATATATTCTAGATAGAAGTTCTTCATCAGAAATATGTTCTGCCAAAAATATTTCTTCTAGATTTTGGTTTATCTATTCGTATTCTTTTAGTTCACAGTACAAACATGTACCATTGTACCTGGCTTCTATTCATATGCTTAATGGTGTCTTTGATAAGATATTTAAAATTTTGATGAAGTCCAATTTTGAGAATTTTTTGTTTTATGGTTAATGATTTTTGACCCAAACACCTTTGAAAAGTAGATCACATCATACATTCCCATATAAGATTCTTCATTAGCCTCCCACATTTTTGGAATAGCTCTTGAGTCTTTGCCTTGACCCTCAAATTCATGATTGATGTGGTTCTCAGTGAACCTCTAACTTCATGTCACATCCTTCTCTTTTCTGACAGTGCCCTAGTAACATGAATCTTATTTCTGTTCCTTGACACAACAGTAGCATGTTAGGCTTACTCCCATTTTACAGTCTGAACACTCACTCTGCCCTGTTCCAGAAATACTCCTTCTTCACCTTTCTGTGTGGATTGGTCCACCTCATCATTGGGTCTGGGCTCACATACCACCTACTCAGAAGGCCTGACATACTTCCTTTACTAAAGTGACTACCTACATGCACTGTGCATCTCATCATTTAATGTTTTTCTCTTTGAAACATTTATCACAGAGAAATATCTAACATTTATGTATCTGTTCACTTGTTTCTTGTCCATCTCTCCTACTGGAATGACAAGCCCATAAACCCTGTCCTATTCAACACTAGGTCATAACTTGTTAGACAGTAGTCATTTTATGTTAAACTCATAAAATTAGTCTCTTGGAAGTGTTAAGGTAAGGATCCATTGAAGGGCTGGCATATTCCATAACATGTACATGTGTGTGTGCATACATCTGTGCGTGCATGTGTGTGTGGGAGGGTAGGAGGTGGTAGATTGATGTAGTAGTCCCAATAAACCAAATTTGACTATTGCAAAGGTTTGTCCTTCACCAGTAGCTTCAGCCTCATGAAGCTTTTTCCATTTTGAATTGATTTGAGGGAGCTATTCTTTTTTTTTTAAATAAATAAATATATTTTTTAAATAAATAAATATTTATTTATTTTTTTAGGTGTAGATGGACACAACACAATGCCTTTATTTTTATGTGGTGCTGAGGATCGAACCCGGGTCCCGCCTGTGCTAGGCAAGCGCTCTACCGCTGAGCCACAACCCCAGCCCTATGGGAGTTCTTCTTTTGATCTTTACATTCCACAACATGTGCATCTTCTCTGTGCCTTTGCACATCCTTGTTTCTCTAAAATTCCCTCTCTTGTCCCAGAACAAACAACATGACCTACATGAAGACTTAGTTGACTTCTCCAGAAAGAGATCGGGATCCTCCTTTAGTGCCCTGTTTTTTGGTCATCCTTCTATTATGGCATTTTAAAATGCTGCTTCAAAATATGTTTACATGACTTCCTCCCTGTTAGACTGGGAGCTTCCCCCAAACTAGGTTATCTCTGTATCCTCAGTTCTTGGAAGAATAAGCACTCAGCAAATATTACTGGATGTCAAATGAATAATCGAGCATATAATAATGATAGTATTGTGTCTGAAAGAAGAGAACTGTGTCATATCAATACCTCTAGATAATGATATCCTAAGTAACATGTGATGAGTTGTTGATGGGTAGCACCTTCTCCCCTGCATCTCAGGAGATGAAAGCCTAGAAATTACATGCCCCAGAATCCCTCCCTGAAGAGTTATATTCTACCTGGTACAGTTTGCCAATCAGAGGTATTACTCAAATTTAACACATGGAAATCGAAATGGAGCAGATTATATGCATGTATGAAAACATCAAAATGAACCCCACTATTATTTGTAACTATAACATACTAACAAAATACCTTATATAATATGGAAATGACAAGCTGCTATTGTTCATGTATGACTGATAGAATAAAACATGAGCTTTAAAGTAGCTTCTGCATGTTCCTCTGTGATTTACTGACTTCTGAGCTACAAAAAGCTGAAATAATCACTAATGGTTTAACATGATTCTAGTATCTCTGATTTTCTTAATTCTATTTTATGCCCTTGGCACTCTGAAGAATCTGCAAGCTTACAATACTTATATTAAGTTCTCTGATCATGCACTGATTTGCAAAAAATTGATATGTATGGGGAAAAATTTTTGTGAAAAGAGGAGAATGGAAGAATTGATTCCAGAAATCTTAACAAACTTTCCATCTATTAATATTTACTGAGTTGGCTATATTTTTGCAACTGGAAAATCAACATCTACATTATCACAGATAATGATGCACATTAGGGATATGAATTCTGTAGGTCTTCCTCAGAAGTAGATTTTTCTAAAAAATGTTTCAATATGATAACAATTAGCTGAACCGCCAAAATTAAGGGGCAAGAAAAAAAGCTGGCCAAATGCCTAGGAATAATTTTTACATATTAAAAAGTGAAAAACATGGAGAGTCTTTTAGCTAAATCCTTCTCCTACACAAGCTCACCAACAGGAAAGCTTGAAAAAGTCACAATTCTCAGACCTGGGGGCAGGGATTCTCCTGTTGAATCACTGCTGTTGGTTTTGGTGTTAGATGCCTGGAGAACATGATTTTTTTGTTGTTTGGGAAATACAATTTTACTTTCTGGCTATCTTCTTTCTTTTTTTTTTAATTTTTTATTGTTGGTTGTTCAAAACATTACATAGTTCTTGATATATCATATTTCACACTTTGATTCAAGTGGGTTATGAGCTCCCATTTTTACCCCATATACAGATTGCAGAATCACATCAGTTACACATCCATTGATTAACATATTGCCATACTAGTGTCTGTTGTGTTCTGCTGCCTTTCCTATCCTCTACTATCCCCCCTCCCCTCCCCTCCCCTCCCCTCTTCTCTCTCTGCCCCCTCTACTGACATTCATTTGTCCCCCTTGTATTATTTTTCCCTTTCCCCTCACTTCCTCTTGTATGTACTTTTGTATAACTCTGAGGGTCTCCTTCCATTTCCATGCAATTTCCCTTCTCTCTCCCTTTCCCTCCCACCTCTCATCCCTGTTTAATGTTAATCTTCTTCTCATGCTCTTCGACCCTACTCTGTTCTTAGTCACTCTCCTTATATCAAAGAAGACATTTGGCATTTGTTTTTTAGGGATTGGCTAGCTTCACTTAGCATAATCTGCTCTAATGCCATCCATTTCCTTGTAAATTCTATGATTTTGTCATCTTCTTTCTAAGAAAACAAAAAGTAACACTTTTTACCTTTGAGAAATTATCTCAGTCTCATTCCAGTTGGGGAGTTCTTAAAGACAGCTATAGGATATATGCCCTTCCTGATGGAATGCTGTGTTCCTGGATGCTCTGCCTCACTTGGGCCTAGAGGTGTACATAGTGTGGGTTTAGACAGTGCTATGGAGGTTTAATTAGAGATATCCACTATGCTAACATTTGGCATCGCCAGGGTTCTTCCAGGGCTTCTAGCCTAACTTGCAAGATGGAAAAAAAAAAATTTCATGAGAATTACAAAAGGAAGCAAATTGGTCAGATAGAGCTCCTCCCCTCACGAGGAGTCTTGGGAGCAGAACAGGCAATGTTCTAGAGAGGGCGGTGCATGGAGAAGAGTGCAGGCTTTTGGTAAAGTGATGAAGCTTAAGCATAAGAGCAGGATAGTAGAGGAGTGTTGTTACCTGACCCCCTCAGAAAAGTGGCCAAAATCATAAGTTGCTTAGCTTGAGGAGATTTCTAAAAGAAGAGGAATGCAGGGCAGAACTGAATTCAGGAGTGAGTATGGAATCAGGCTGGGAGCATACAAGGAATCACAGGGAGCATGGAGAAGTTATTTAAGAACCAGACAGCTTTGTCCCAGCCAACCTGTCAACACTCTCCTGTTCTAAGAGTTTAGAAGATCACAGAGGTACACTACTGCTTTTCTGATCATAGCTCAAAACCCATGAGGGATAGAATGAACACTGAAAGTAGAGGCTACATATTTGGGCTCTAGTCCAATCTCTCTATGAGCTTCAAATCTGCAACCAGATTAAAAATTACTGTCCTCTACCCTGTACTATGGTACTAATTCTCAAAGAATTAATGAATGTCAAAGCACTCTGTGCATGACAGCTGTTCTAACTCCTGGCACAAGTACCTCCCATCTCTTCACATCTCTGGGCCCCTCTAACTGACAAAGAAAAACATGAATTCTATAATTTTATACTAGTGCTTCCAATGATTCAACTTCATACATTCCTGAAACACATATTTAACACTTAAACCCGTGTTTGGTACTAGGGGTATGTATGGAAGGGAATAATAAATGATCTCTGGTGTCCATCTGATTAACTTTTGTGATTAACTGATTCCAAGTTAGAGGAAAAGAGGGGTGTGTTAGTTATTAGACCCTAAAACTCTAGCAACTTAAAGCCTCCTCCCAAGAGAAGGGAGGAATTCGCTTAATACCCTATGCTAGGGACACATTGTGATGGCCTTCTCCAAATCACACACTGACCCAACTGTGTGGTATTTTAAGATGCAACAGATTGGCATGTGACTTTATTATTTCCTAAAGATTGCCGAAGAAATATCAAATATGGTCTCTACCTTCGAGGGACCTATAATTTAATTGAGGAAACAGAGATAAAGGAAGGAATAACTAGAGCAGGTATATTAATACTTAATGAGGAATGGAGTGGTGGGGTCAGAGAAAGGAGAGGGCAAACAAAATCAGAGGACACAAAGGAGGTAGGAATTCATTTGGTCTACAGGATAAGGGAGATTGGGACAATGTGAGAATGGCAGCAAAGGATAGTTCCTATTGGTACAGCAGTATGCCTGGTATCCTAAAGAGGGGTGTGTGTGTGTGTGTGTATGCATGCGTGTGTGTGTGTGCGCACATGTGTGTTGGATCACAAGACTGAAAATCATCTTGACTGGAGCAGGGCTCAGTGTTAGCTTAGAACAGGGATCAGAACTGACTTCCCTGGCACATGCCTATAGTTCCAGCTACTGGGGAGACTGAGACAGGAGAATCACAAGTTCAAGGTCAGCCTCGGCACTTTAGTGAGACACTGTCTCAAAATAGCCCAGGGGATATAGTGGTAGAGTACCCCTGGGTTTAATCCCCAGTTGTGAAAAACAAACAAGCAAAGAATAGGAATCAGAAGTTAAACAGATGTAGAGGCAAGAAATGAGGGCTCTTGGTTCTGGGCTGAAGAGTTCATATCCTAATGTAAAATGGGAGGAACTAGGAACTTTGAGACAGACCAAATTATGGTATATGCATATATGAATATGGCAAAATGAATTCCACTATTATGTATAATTGTAATACACCAAAAAATAATGTCACAACCTTCTGAAAGAATTAGTATGACAAGTGTTAGAATTTAGTGCTTATTCTAAAGTAAGTAGTGGCAGCAATGATTAAAACTATTTAATACCATCTCATTCACTCAACTCCAGCATCAAAAAACCAGGCCCTGTTTTGTACATATTACAGGAAGCCCTGAAGGAATAATCAGAATTGACACTTACCCAGCAAGTGGAGTACAGATGTTGCCACTGCCTTTCCAAGAGCATTGGTGGCTGTGCAAACATAGGTTCCTTCATTTTCAAGGGAAACATTCTGCAACAACAGGGATCCATTGAAAAGCAAGGAAATATTGTCACTCAGAGATCCTCCTCTCTTCAACCAAGTTACATTAGGCTGAGGGACACCTTTGGAACAAAAACAAATATGACAAAGGCAATTCTTTAAGAACAGGGCCACAGAACCACATGACAAATACCATCTAGTATTTTGTCTATAAGTGAGCAAATGGGTTTAAAATAAATAAAAGGAAAAATGGCTATTTTTACTTTTTACACCTTTTCTTTGGCAAGTTCATGGGAATCCTGTCACAGCAAAGTGCTGGGTCTGCTGAGCACCTGGAAGTTTTATGTGTATGTTAAGGAACAGGAGCCAGAGTGAGAGGCATTGCTCTATATGGGTAAGGGAGGGAATTTTGAAGTTGGCTGGGACAATGGGAGAGTGATTGCAAAGGAGCTGCTGAAGCTGGGGGAATATGGAGGAAGAGCCAAAGAGAGAAATTCCAAGTAGTGAGCTGTCATAAAGAAGCTTTTGGAAAACAAATGCAGATAGATCTTAAGTCCTTTGCTGTACAGAGGCAATGAAACATCCCTCTTTGAGAAACATTATAAAATCTTGAGAGAAACATATTTTTTAAAAAGGTTTTTCATCATAGATGGACACAATATCTTTATTAATTAATTTATTTTTATGTGGTGCTGCGGATTAAACCCAGTGCCTCACACATGCTAGGCAAGTGCTCTACCACTGATCCACAACCCCAGCCCTACAATGGTAATTCTGAAAACACCCATGTCTGCCTGTCCAATATTAACTTCTCCCTGGAGGTCAAGCCTCCCAGATATGAACATTCCCTGAGGGGTCTCAAACTCTGTAAATCCATAGTCAATCCCATCTGTCTCCTCTAACTCCATGCTTGTTCCCTTTTATCATCACAGTGCCCCATTTACTCCAGCCATCCTGTCTCACACCCATTCTTGGCCCTCACCTACTTTTCATTCTCCATGTCTAATTTGCCATAAAGTTAAAAAAAGAAATAATTCCTGAAAGCTCTCTTGGACTTTTCCCTTTTCTCCATTTTCAATAGTCAGTGCTGGAGCATTGAGCACAGTTCTCACCTTGATGAAACAACTTCTTACTGAGTTCCCTATGTCCAAACTATCCTCATACAAGGCCAGCAGGAATAAGGTGCTTAGAGACCCCTGCTGGCCCCGGCTGCCCATAGATGCATGGAGCCTGATATTCCCTGTTCTGCACCCCTTAGCTCTAACTCCAACCAACTGCCATGTCCCTCCTGCCACAGAGCTCACAGTATAGTTAAGTCACTGCTGTCAACAAGCATGCCCAGCCTGCCATCTATCTTTGGCTCTGATTTCTCAGTTTGTGACTCTCCTGTTTGTGGCTGTATTTATACCTTGTGGGAAGTCCCCTGAGACACTCAGTTGGTTAAATACCCCTTGTGACTCTTGCACTTTGCTCACATTGACACAAGTACATTTATAACATTATGTCATGACCAGCATAGGATACCATCTTTCTGGAAGTTGCCTGTTGGGCATGCTCAGTAAAAGTTTGTTGAACTACAAGTGCTCTCAGTCCTACGGAGGATCTGCCTGTCCTGGGGTTCACCTGCTGTCCAGGCCTCAGGAAATGTTCTGCTACATTTACACTCCTGGCTGGTTAAGGTGTTGTGATAAATCAAAGCAAGAATCCCAAGTGAAGGATGTCATCAAAAAGTATCCAGTCCTGCAACTTTGCTCTGCTCTGGCAACTGCAGCCCAGAGTTGCCTGACTCTGCTGGCTTCCCCTGGCTTAAGAGGGACCTCCAAATCTTCTCTGGAACTCAGATCACCAGATGCCTTAGCCCCATGTAACTACATATATGGGACTAGTTCCTATGTCAGGTGTTCTCTTTAAGCACCCCCATTTCAATAGTTTCGAAATGCAGAGCTAGGTTGGTGAAGATTGTCATGTGACATTGCACTCCAGGAGCCTAGCTTTCATCTCAGTAGACCTTAATGCTCAACAGAATTGAAAACAAAAAACCAAAAACTCCTCAAAATGATTTTTAATGGGCCCATTTTGTTCCTGAGTTATTCTGATGCTCTATTACTTTCTAGTTGCTTTATATCCCCCATGTCTTTCCTCAAATCACTGAGCAATAGAGACAACATAAAGGCTGCTTAGACCACCCACTCACTCCCAAGCTCCTGACATTTCTAAGTAATCAAGCATTCATCCATCCAGCAAATATTTTGTGGTCACTGAGTGTCAGCACTGTTTTAGGTGCTTGGATCATAGCTTTTCCGGAATGCTGAACATCAGCTTTTCCCGCTGCTTGGCTTTCAGGAGAATAAGAGAGAATGAGATTCCTCTCAGGAATCTGGTTCCTTCTCCAGCAATCTAATAAGACAACCTAAGAGCCTCTGACTTGGTTCAAAGCCCCAAGCAAAAATCAGCCAGATTCACCTCGGGAGTCCCAGAGCAATGTTGTGTACACAGGAGGCTTATTAAAGTAAATTGAGTAGAACAAACCAAAGGTCAGGGAAGTTGTTTTGAGCTATATAATTACAGCTGTTTTCTAAAGAAAATGAGACCTTTCCCTTCAGAACATCTTGGAAGATTTGGAAGCATGCCTTTGCAGGCAAGAGCTGCATAATAGCGAGAAAAGTATGTGGGGTTCCTATAGCTATCTGAGGGATCAGAGGTGGAGGCGAGGAGGATTGGGAGCAGGAAAAGCCTGGGTGATTGGATACCTTTGCCATGATCTCTGAATTTTCACACTTGCTTAATTTCCAAATGCTGGCTTGTTATTAATGATGTTTTGCTATGAATGGAAACCAGTCAAGGAGCTGAGTTCTGCTTCTGGATCAATGAAGGGCAAAAGAGAGCTAGGACCATTTAATGCAAGAGCCAAGGGCAAGAGGGCTCAGGCCAGGGCAACCCCAGAGAACTGTCAGAAGTCAGGTCCAGAAGGCTCTGGAATGTGCAAAATCTGGAACTGACAGGGGTCAGAGGCAATCACACATGAATGTAAGTCTCAGCGTGGGAAGGAGATGAGACTGAGCTTGCATAGTTAGTAATATTTTGCATACACTTGGAATTTCAGAAAGCAAAACAGAACATGGCAAGGTTTTAATGCAAAAGGGACACAAAAGTCCCAATGCTGAAAGGAGAAGCAGACCCTGGAACCCAACACAGAGAAGCATCATTACATGTGTGACCACTGTCAAAGAACTGACAAGGCCAAAGGAAACTCAGACAAGATTCTTTGTACTACTGCTCTTCGACACATTTTAGAACTACAAATGTTTACCCTGTTGAAACAGCTATAAAATGTCAGAAGTAGTTTAAACTTGTTTATCTAACCTCAAAGACAGGCTGTTTCCCGCAAGACTTATAGCTCTGAAATATTCAGCGTTCTGTTTCCACAATGCTGAAATCGTTTTTGGAAAGCAAATGTTATGGAAAAAAGCATCAGATCTGGAGCGGCCGTGAAACATGTGCTGCAAAAAGTCTGCACCTCTAGGATGTCTTTAAAATAGTCAGTGTTTAAAAACAAATTTCCTTCATCCTTGAAAGCCTATGAAATATTCCACACTATAAAATCCTTGGCCTATTCAGACTATTTTAAAATGCTGGATTTCTATATAAATATATATTATTCCTATATGTTCTTGTTCATTTGTTTGTTTCCTCCAGCTACTCAACACTCAGACAATATTCTGCATTTCTCCCCACATACAAAAGATTGAAGTTGCCATTAATTACCTCCTGGGAATCATGAAGAAATGATGTGGCCAATTTATAAGATAAGCAGCAAATTGAACACAATGTAGGCAAACCACAAAGGGAGCTGTCACTAATAAATGAGATAAACAAACAAGAGTTCAAGTTTCCAGTGTCAGAGAAAATTATCTTGAAGCCATTAGGATAAATACATGATGTGAACATACTTTATATACAAAGATATGAAAAATGGTGCTCTATATGTATAATAAGAATTATAATGCATTTCACTGTCATATATTTAAAAAAATAAAATCAATAAAAATATTTAAAAAAGAAATACAAATGACCATAAAAAAAGAATGTACTCTTCTCAGGCACAATTGTCATGCCTGTAATCGCAGTGGCTTGGGAGGTTGAGGCAGGAGAATTGTAAATTCAGGGCCAGCCTGGATAACTTGGTGAGTCCTTAAGCAAAATAAAAAACAAAAAAGGCTGGGGACATGGCTCAGTGGTAGAGCACCCTTGGGTTCAATCCCCAGGAACATAAAAAACAATAAAAAATAATGTATTCTTCAACTACAAGGTCAATCTGCACCACATAGGCAGTTTCATAAGGAAGGTTCCTCTTTTGAGTTACCTGCATAACCTTTCGTCCTTTCTTGGCAATATATCATCTATGCTTTTTTGATATGAAGAACTATTCATCAGTGATGCCATATCCAGAAGTCTCTCTGAATACAAGGCTATGGTTTTCGCCATCTAGAGAATTCTCCCCAATATTTGTTGAAATACTTTTCCTTCTTTAGTAAAATGATGTTATCAGATTGATATCATTAGTTCCCCAAGCATTTTGATTTGGGGATTTAGAACTCTTTGGGGTCACAGCATCCATTTCAACTTCATAATTAAAAGTCCTGCCTTCTGACATGGAGGAAGGCTGATCAAGTCCTTTCCCAAGTCTGGTCATCTCTGACCTCTCAGGTATCCTGAGCTTCTGCTTAACTTGAGACTGGGTAGTTCTCCCTAACTCTGCCAATTGTATCCCATGAGCACTACATGTTCAATTCTGGATATTGTCTTCTGGGGTCTCATTTATAGGTTAGAAAGTACCCATGAAAATTATTTCATAAATGGTCTAAAAACCATTTTTTTTGGTTCTTTGAGGAATGATTCAAAGTCAAGGTGTTGTAAGTCAAGCATAATAACATACATTGGAGCTATGTAAGTGTTGGAAAACACTGGTTCTAGTACAGAACATGAGGAAAATGGCTAGACAATAGTTCAAAAGGGGAGAAGCTGGGTATTGCTGAGGCTCTTCCTGACAAACAGCAATTTTGGTAATCTGTCACTCTAACACCTTTATCCTTACTGAATAGCTGCAGTTTAAAATAATGCT